TTGTTGCGGAGAGGAAAAGATAGATGCATTGGCATCCAAATTACTACCTCCTCCATGATGATTTTTAGAATAAGAAAATTATGGGAAATCAGGCACTTTCTTCCCCGAGTTGTTTACGCCTTAGGGTACCGAGGCTGATGTTCATAGCTAATGGCTTGAAAGCTAATTGGCTCTTTTTTGTCTGTAACACTGTGGACATGAACATGCAAACCCAGCATTATTATGACCTTAGAATTACACCTCTAACCTTTCCCTTATTTACTTGAACCCTGCAAGTTTCCTTAAACGTCCTAAAAGGTCAGGGCGGACATGGCCAATCTCTTTAGCACAGCGACTTTCACAGTATTCTAGGTCGGATCCAATTAGTCATGACACACCACTAATTTAGTTACTGACATGATTTTTAGTCAGCCCCTTTGGCTGCACCCTCAGTGAGCCACAGTGCAGACTCTGGGAAGCCTTTGCCAAGCCACAGGGGACCTTTTGCCTTCCTGGACGCTCTGCATCAGGCCACCATCAGATGATGAGCTGATTGCTTCTCCTCCCCTCCCCTCCACCAGCCATATTACAGGAGGGCAGGGCGCCTGATTCCTAAACCCTGAAATTATAACTCGAAGCACATCAGCCAGCCCACCACTGCAACAAATAGTGGGGTAAAATACGAGTGCCCTCTGAGCGTGAATACCTGCTGCAAAGAGAGAGCGAGAGAGATTGATTGATTGATTGATCGATCGATTATAAGAGACGTGGGGAAATACGCCACAGCCTTGCAGGCAGGAACCCTCATCTAGTGTGCCACCCTTTGTGTCAACGATTTGTAGGCGTCCAATGGAAATACTATCTTTGGCCTCTCCTCCTCCAGCAGTCTACAGCCACACCACACGCTGCTGTGTGCTGAATGTACAAACCCTTCCATGCACCTTAGAAGCTCACTGGATAGTCTCTGTTCCAGCAGCCCATCTGAGATGTGATTCAAGAGTTGAGCTTACATTTCTAAATAGTACTGGTAGCTATTGAACTTTTTAGTAAATGTGTCTAAGGATCACAGCCATATGATCCATGTGTATATTTACTGTGATGCATTTTTAACCGTATTCTCTTTAATGGGCAGCATTTCTAGATTTTTTGAACAGTTCGCTTTTCATAGCACCTGAAGATTGCATATTTCCACCAATCCTGTTTTGTTACCTGGTGGAAGGCTCTTGTGAGAATGCAGTGAAAAATGCCTAATAGGATAAAATTTGCACTGCTGCTTCTTCCCATTCTTCTCTGGTCATGTAGATAATGTTGGAAAGTTAGTGTATATAGATTTGACTGCTATCTGGATTAAAAAAAATGTTACAGCAGTTACATAGTGACCAGTAGCTGAGCAGTTCTCAACAATGAAAATATAAACTATGACTTAAGATGCAATAGCAGTGTTTAAATGCGCAGTGTAGTAAGCAAAAACCAAGATAAAATGTAGGTGCAAAGATATTAATATTGTAACAGATTTAAAATGACAGAAAATGACTCACCAAATGCCTAGGGAAATAGTCTTCACACAGCACTGGAAAGAGCACTACGGAGGTGCCAGGTGAATCCCTCTGGGAGAGCTCATTCTGCAACAGAAAAATGCGCCTTGCCTTTGTTGTTTGACTTAGGTATGCATACGCAGCTAGAATTAAGTCCTTTTGAAGCCTTGCTTCTGAGTAAACCCACGTAGGATTGCTCCATGCCTAAAAGCTGCACAAACTTCATGAAAGAGAAGTGGGGATGTATATTTAAGCTGGTCCCATTAAGTTTAAGAAGATTTTAATGCTTGCTGCATAACCAGAAATCTCAAGTATACCACTTAATAAAACTTGTGTTAGATTTGAAACTAACCATGATGTTTTTTATTTGGAAATTATCCCCCAGTTTTAAAATTACAGTTAGTTTTAACCAGAATTTGCTATGTAGCAATACTTCCATCCAGTGGTGATTCCATAGCTGTACATCATGGCTTCTTATGGATGTCATCAGACAAGATCATTCTGTTTGTCCTTTTAAAATATTTGGTTTTGCGGTGAACATAAAATGTTAGCATAATATATGGCAGTTTTCCAGCCATGTCTTTTGTCATATTATGCCACATTGTAGTCTGGCTTCATCTCATCTCAAAACATATTTGAATGATATTATGAAATATACATAATTAGTTTAATTATTGAATTATGTGGCTTCTAAAATTGAAGTCTGTTTTACATTAAACAAGATTTTTAACTTGCCAGCTTAATGTTAGGAAAACATAAAAAAGTAGTCATAGAATTGTTTGCTCATATTTTTTATCAGTTGCTACTCATTTACTTCTAAAAATGATCAGTTAAAACTAGAATAATTTGCATACGTATTGGACATAGCCTCTAGCTAATTTATTGTTTAATTTATATTGTTTTATTGGATTCTATTTATGGTTGTGAGCCGCCCCGAGGCTTCGGCGAATGGGGCGGCATAGAAGTCCCCTAAATAAATAAATAAATAAATAAATAAATAAATAAATAGCTCGTGTACCTACCAGTACAGCTTTTAAAACACTATTTTCTTTATAAATGTTCTACTCTAGTTTTTTCCTCAAAACGAACAAGCCATCATATTGTAAATGATAAGAATTTGCTGTATAGAAAGCAGAGAGCATCTTGGTTCTCTTTGTACAATATTGGTATCGCCTTCCTAAACTTTGCCACTCACTCCATACTACTTGTGTCAATAAAACCTCTGTCCTCATTCATCTCCATCCATTGAAAAGCTGGGCAAGATTCACCCTGTAGCACATCCTGTTGTTGAGATGCTGCAAAGCTCCCAACTTGGAAGCTTACATGCATCCAGTCCAGAGTGTGATTCAACCTCTGCATTTTTGCTGGAAGGCGTTTTTGCACAACTGCTTGAGGGTGCCTTAGACTGGGAGGGAAAGAAGCTGATGCAACTTCCTCCTGCCTGCTCTGGTTTCCTCCCTCCTCACCCCATGAGCTGCACCTTTCAATTCCTCTGAGAGATTTTGTTGCTGACTGATTCTTTGTTAACTTGTAGTTAAATATCTGTAAGAACTATGAAGAGGGCTGCCTTTGTTTAGTTTCATATATAGAAGTTCCACTTTTAGTGGTATATACCATCATTCATTCAGTCAGTCCACTTGTGAGTCACTTTGTGATCAAAACTGTCAGTGATCTATATAAATGGTCAGTAATACACTGGAAAAACACAGTTAAATACAACAAGAAATAAAGGCAGCTAGAAGTACAGCTTAAAATATTGGAAATGCGGTGTTACTGCACCTCTGTCGAACCTGGTCTTAGAAAATAGGCATAGTTATTTTCACCCATGAGTAATTCCAAATCTCTTGAGTGATTTCCTGCCATATTAGAATGCAATCTTCCATTTGATGTAACTTTCCAGGAAAAAGCAGTGCTGTGAATAATGTTATCTGATTTAGTGTGTTAGTTTTACTCTGCATTTTCAATATGCACACAAAATATCTCATATTTAGTAAACAGACCTAAAACTGTAGTCTTTGTCAATTTTATGAGCGGTCTAATTATATCAAAAGTTTTCCCAGTAGCTGCAAAACATTGAACTGAGATATTTGCTTAGGGGAAAATTAAATTAACCACACAATATAGCTTAAATGTTTTATGCAAGCACTTTCAAAGCCTTATGGAGAAATTATTTTCTTGGAATATTTATGAAAATGTAAAGAATAGTATATATCCTTCCTTACAATGTGTGTGCTTATATCCATCAAAAGTTATTCATCAAAAATTGACTACACTTGAAAGAGCCCTCTGTTTTAGGATACATACTCAAGGAGAGCTGATTTATCTTATATCAGCAGTTTAATTTCCTTTTGCTGTGTTAACTGCAGCACCGTCAGCCATGCCCACTCACTGTGCTGCTTATTAGTTGTGTTTCAAGCTGAGAAGAAGCTGATTCAGAACAACTCAGCATAAAGATGGAGGTGTGTCTTTGGGCACAGGCCACGAAGCTCGGACAGGTTCATGTGACCCCATCGGCAACCGTGTCTTTGGGCACAGGTCAGGAAGCTTGGACAGGTTCATGTGACCCCATCGGCAACCGTGTCTTTGGGCACAGGCCAGGAAGCTCTTGCACTCATGTCCGGTTTGTGTGACCCCATCGGCGGCTCTTGACCACTGTGTGAACAGAGCGCTGGACTCGGTTGGTCCTAGCACTGATCCAGGGTGGCTGCTCTTGTGTTATTAAGTGAAACCATGATCACAGCCTCAGCTTCCTTCAGTGTGCTATTGAGAAAAGTTAGCAATAGAGGGCAAATGCGTTCTGTGTAAATGTGGTCCAGACCTAGCCGGGAGCCAGCTGCACTGTGCACAGGAAGGGTTGTCGTGTCTTATTTTTTTCTGCTCCCCATGGGCGTGTGAGCACTCGGGTTGGTCAGTGTTTTCCTTAGAAGAATAACTTAAACCATTTTGTATGCTATAGTTAACCCCTTTAGCGTGATTGATTGTGCTACAAAAGCCCAGACATATATGGTATCAAAATTTTTCCACAGACATAGAGTAGTGCAAAAGCCTTCAGTACTTTTGTTTCTGCCCACACCACTGAGCTAAAGCTTTAGTTGTGCAAGCACCATTGCACAGCCTGTTGTGCAAGCAGTTACGTACCATGCTTGTACAGCCCATTGGAACTTACGCTTCTTCAGGACCTTGCATAAGCACCTGCTCATTCGAGAGGTTTGGCAGGGCTTGGCTAGTGCTGTTGAGTTTGCAGAATGATGTCATTGAGTACCACCCCATAAAGGCCACCTTAATGGCACAGTTGAAAGCATACTCTTCAAATAGTTAATGTACCAGAATTGCTAGTAGTACTGTCTTAGCTGAATCATAATTTTCTGTTCACCTTTAAAGAATCTGATTTCGTATTAGTTGCAGCGGACAGAATAAAGAGATGAGGATTTTTTAAAAATGTGTTCTTTGTATATGGAACTAACTTTGCCTATTTTCTCTTAATAGGTACCTGTCGGATGAAGGAATCGAGGCTTGCACAAATTCATCTGACAAAATCAACATAAATGATATTATCCTGATTGCACTTAATGTAGGTAGAATGTATGAATTTTCAGATAAATTGTTGCTTCTCGTGACCATTCACTTACTGATTTATTGATAATAAGAAAGATGAATTATAGTACTCTAAAGTGTGCTCTTTACAATAAAAAGTACTAGAAGAATTGAAAACAGTCTAGAATAGTAATACGCAATTAAAAAGTTTTGCCTAGTATTTATTTAACTGTGGATGTGGTAGAACCAAAATGTTTCAAAGGACTGTGATTTTTTTTAAAGTTCCTTTCTTTAAAAAAGGATGTAATGGATTTAAGGTACTGGGGAAAGATTTTCAAGACTGAACAATCAACATTATCTGTGTAAGTGCAGGTTTACGAACATAAATAGCCTAAATTGTAAATATAATGTGCTGAACTTTCCAAACAGATAAAAGAACCAGTACCAATTACAAGACATGTTTTGACCATGCGGGTTTTCTTCAGTAGTCAAGTGTACAAAAATACTCAGGCTTATATGCTCATATATGCAATATATTATAATCAAAGCCTATCACATAAAGTGTAGAACTGTAATTTAAAAGAGATTTTTATCCATTTAAAATACATGATTGAAAATCATCATGTGACATATTAAGATAAACTGCGAAAACTCACCAGCTTTACCTTGTATCCTACCAATCGCTTCCCCGTCCAACTGCCAGAATGCTCCCCTTCCCCACTCTTTGCACTTGTATGCCTGACCTCAGAGAAGCATCCAGTGTCAGGGGCAAGTAGACTGCAGATCAGTGTGCAGTCTTAATTCCTGAGAATCCAAAGTACCTTACAGCCCCTCAGATGCTGTCTATAGCTATTCTTAATAGAATAGTTATTAACAGTTATATGAGAGTTAACTACTTTTAATACTTATGAGAATCCTATTGAGGACAGTAAGCTGGCAGATAAAGAACTAATTTTTAAACTTCTGAAATATCACGGTTTCTAATGCAAATAGGTAAGGAAAATGTCAACTCTTATGTTTACAATAGCAATGTATTGCTTGAAGGCAGGCTCAGCACAAACATTTGATGCATAAATTAGTTGATTCTGTAGCTCATCTGCTTGTCTAGGAGTAGAAAATGTAATTTGTGAAGGGCTCCATCTTGAGTACTAGCTGTTACAAGTGAGGTGTATAGCTACAATAAAATGAGTTTTTTCAAATTATGTTCTGTATATTACTATCTAATCTAATTTAGATTAGATTAGAAAACATTCATCTTTGAAATTTCAATGTTGCAAAAAATAGTCTGTTTTAAAAACATGAGTACTTTTATGTATTTGTATCTCTTGGCAAGATGAGAGCGCATGTTATAATCATGAGTTTGATTGTATTTACTTGTTCTTAGAAAGGTATGCTTACCAGTATGCTTCAGTGTAATGAAACAGCAGAATGGTTTTGTTTTATAATTTCATCCTCCCTCCCCTCCCTGTGCTCTTGTTACTTGTCTTGAAAAACAGTACTCTGATTTAACTTTTATTTTAACTTTAGACTGATTTAAGAGCCATTGGCAAGAAATTCCTCCCAAGTGACATCAATGGTGGAAAGGTAGAAAAGGTAAAAATACTGTTCCTGTGCTACTATTGGCTTGACCTGTTGAATAGTTATTTGTGCAGCTGTTCCAGCCAGATCGGTCCCTTTGCTCTGTCTTTCTTTTCCTTGTTCTATTGCTAAAGGCATCCACCCTCTGCAGAGGTTCCAGTAGAATTTCTAGCACTTTCTCTTAATGCTTACTTTATGTTACTAGAATGTGACAAAGGGCTTGTGTGGCAGACTGAGGTTTACTTGAAAGGGCTTTGAATTACTTTATTGTAAAGAAATTGGTTTATTTAGTGTAAAGTATTCTGACTTCTGTCTTAGAATTATGAGCTATAAACGTCTATAAATCTAAATGGGTTTAGAAAATACAAATTACTATCTGCATGCTTGGGGATATTTGCAAACTGCTTTTTGAAACTGGCTGACTTTGAATGTAAAAATAAACTAAAATTCTGGAGAATCCTGGTTCGAAGTCATGAGCGCTAGCTCTGGCAAGACTCTTCCAGCCCATGGGAACAGTGAACAAACCTGGAAGCTTTGTTACCAGAAGGTAAAAACTTGGTGTTAATATCGGGACTGGGACTCCTACTGAACAATCTAGAATCCAAAGCCAAGGATTTTTTATTCCTGCTTTTTGATCCCTGTCTTGTTTGGGAACGATATGCCAGCAGTTGGAATTGGATGTAAAACTAAGCTTTGTCTTGCTGACAAGTTCCTGGTTTGTTTGGGTGCTCACATACTGACAAACAGCAATGTGGAGCCCGGACTCTCATCAACCCTGGTTTACCACTGCATGCTAATAAGATGGTCTCTTTTCAGGTAAATGCAATAGTTTTTAGCCCCTCCTCCCTTTTTTGCTGCCACCTGCGTGGATGTGCATTGAATTGGTTGTGTTCTCTTAATTTGTGCTATTCATAAAAGCATTTTCCATTAAGACAGATACAGGCTGAAAATGTCATAGTGATTTAGCACCTGATAATTTATCCCACTGCTGAGAATAAAGTGATGCACAAAGAGTAAAAGTGCTTTCACGCATACGTGCACCATGTATCTGAGACATTAAATTCAGCTTGGAATAAATCTAACTCTTTGTAACATTATTTGAAACAGAGAGGACTATAGATGAAGTGTCTTTACAAGCTTAATCCAGTCAGCTAGCATTGAAGGAGGGGAAAAGAGTGAAAAATTACTCAGGCTTATGGGGGAAATGCAGAAGAATTGTCTAAAAAGCTTATGAAGGCACGATCCTATACATGCTTAGACAGAAAAAAGGCCTACAAATTCCCAGCCTGACTTAGCCGACTGTAGGAGAAGACCCTTTGTTTGTTTGTTTGTTTGTTTGTTTTCCAAACAGAATTATATGGTTCAAGGTTTGTATTTCACTGTTTCCTGCAAACTGTGATATTTTCTCTCAAGGGTAGAGATGGAGTTGGAGTATAGTTCTTCAGGGTCCTTAGAAGCATGACTTACAAACTTCAGCCACAAGATGGCTACCTTTGATTACATTTGGAGGAAAAAGGTTGAATACTTTGTTTTGTATACTTTGTTTTGCATAGGTAAAATGTTTCAAACTTGCAAATCGTCATCTTTTAAAGGAAATTGTTTCTGTTCAATATTTTAGAAAAATGTACAACGAATCTATGCGACATGCAATTAACTACTTATTTTAACAGTTATTAGAATACTTGGTTTAACATGCAGCGGTTTGGGTTACTAAAATTGGGGGTTTCTACAAAACTTTTAAACAGTTTGTAGATGAAATGAAGGGATGTACTGAGGGTGAGGTTCAGATGCTGTTGCTGTCTTTTCAGTTTTAGCTATTCAAGTAAGAGTTGCATGGCTTATATAAGGCCTGGCTTGGAAGGCACCATTGTATAATCAAACATAAATGATTTAAATATAACTCTCATGTGATAAGCTGAAAAAGAAAGGATGTTGCACCACTGCAGGCTCAGTTGACTGATAAAGACAGTTTCTAGATATGTTCATAGGGTCATGGGGAAGAGGGCAATTACAGTTAGAGATTTATTCCCAGCTTTGGAACGGGGACATATGTACCAATTTATACATAGATTTTCCTGTACTTGTTTTCCAGTACATGCAGGCTAAAGTGGAACACTTCTAAAATGAGTCTCAGCCTGTGATCAGAAGGGCAAGCACAAGAATTTGGATGTTCCTATGGTTGTTTACATTGTTTTGCTTTTCTTACAACACAAGCTTCATTTGCTTCAGAAAGCCCTCTCAATCTCAGAGGCAAGCTACTTAGACTGAGGCACTCTTGTGTGAGCAAAAAGCCATGCAGTTCTTGGGATCTTATCAGGGAGAAACTCAGGTGCATGCTCTTTTAGGGTTTCTGAATTCGACAGTGAATTGACACCAGTGCAAAGCCACGGAAAGTGAACAACGTTGATTTAAAATAATGAAGCCCTCTTTGTCTTGGTATTCACAGCTAGAAGGTCCGTGTGTTCTGCAGATCCAAAAAGCCCGCAATATAGCTGCACCAAAGGATAACGAAGAATCTCAGGCTGCTCCCAGAATGCTGCGTTTGCAGATGACGGATGGGCATACAAGCTGCACTGCAATAGAATATAATTACATGTCAAAACTAAGGTAAGCCGTGCTTGCTTTTGCTTCGCAGTGATTCTTAATCACGTCTGTTTGTTGCCTGATCACTTTCAATACTCTTGGACAGCGCGACCCCGTGTGCTGCCTCCAGTCTTCCAGACTCGGGAGTCTGGGCATCGAAGGGAGAGCAGATGGCGGGAAGAGGCACAGGTTGCCTCTGGACGTCCGATTGGACTGCTGCAGATGATTCTGGTTGTCTAGCTCTTTTACCTGGTCTCGCCTGGACACCATCCGAACATAGCATATTCTGGTGGAGCCTGCCTCCTCCCCTCACAGCCCCTAAAATGTCCAGAAAATGCCGCATCCAACTTCTCTGTTGAAACCCTGGTGCAGTTCTTTCCACACCAACTGGACAGCAGAAGGAATGTGCTCCCAGTCTGGGATCTTTGCTTTCATCCCAGAGCATACTTCCAATGTCAGAGTGAAATCTGTGGCTTCTTTGGTGCCGAGCACCAATAGGATTGTGCCCCTGAGCTCATAGACTGTTTCTGTCTTTGAAAGGTGCAACATGAAATGAGTTTGTTCCGGAAATTGAGAAGAAAGTTATTTGAATTTCTTTTTTATCTTTTATGTTTCTGCAATATTATGTAGCGGGCATCGGTTCCAGGTGCTAGTCTTTACTAAGGTGTGAAGTTCACTGAGTGACTTTAGGACAGTCACACCTTTAACCTGACTTACCCACAGAGTTGTGAGAATAAGAACAGAGCAGAGTCGGACCATGTGGGTTCCTTGCTGTGGGGGAAAAGATGGGATGTAAATGCAATCTTTACATATATGTGTGTGCATAATAGTATAATATATAGAAGGTAAAGAACTAAATTGTACATTGTATTTGTAAAATTGAGTTAAATGGAAAGCTTTAAATGGAGGCACATTATAGCTATAATTGAAGCTGTCCTTCCAATTACTTGGTTGACTTTGTCATGGCACTGATTGTATCTGTGCAATTAATGGGCCAGTAATGATTTTACATGGGGTGGTAACAGCTACAACTCCATCAGACAAGCTGGTTTGGCTGAGGCATGTAAAATGGGCTGAAGTTAATTATTAACTCACTAATGGTGTGCATAAAGTGAGTGTTTCCAACAGTTTTGGCACTGTGGCTCCTTAAGGAGTTTTGAGACACTCTTTTGGTACTGATACAAAATGTCTATCTGAAGGGAAGTGAAAAATGACTGTCGTGGAGGCTTGGGGATCACAAAATGCAATCACTCATTGCATAGAAAGGCAAATGATTGAAGCTAGAAAACAAGCTTGCAAGAATTCACAGGTTTCTCTTCTGTTGGAGCACCCATTTCACAAAAAGGTGTGCTGGATTTCCCAGATCACTTCTAAATAAATTCTTCTCAATTAAATTTTCCAAACGAATTCCTTCATAGTAGGAAGGTGCCCCCCTAAATCATTTTACCTAAATGCAAAAATCCTGCACACAGCTCTGCCCTTCACCCAAGCGCACACTCCGCTTTCTCACTCACGACTTCCCCTGACACCTCCCTCTCTCTCTCTCTCTCTCTCTCTCTCTCTCTCCCCCCCCCCCCTCTGTATCCACACAGAGCACAAGCACCCCATTCATCCATTGCAGAAATTCACTCATTCCACAAATTCCTTGCTGAGAGAGCTGTGGGGTATCACTGGTGGGGACCCACCATGGGCTAGAGCTTTCCTATGCCTGGACTTACGAAGTCCACACTCCACCTCTTACCCCTGTTGGGTCCCTTGCTTTATCTTTGACTAGCACACAGTATAACAGGTCTCTGCAGTATAAAAACCCAGAGAAAGCAGAATTTTTTTTCCAGCTAGTTGACATTTGAAATAAAAATTAAACTGGGGAGCCACCTGAGTGGGATGGGGTAAATTGGTGTCCTGCAACAGCAGGAGTTGGACTCCATGGCCTTCAAGGCCCCCTTTGGACTCTACTCTTCTATGAAATGGCCTGTGACACTTTATGCTGGAGAGGCCCTGAGGCTGTTTAAGGATTACAGATATTCATAGGGTTCTACCCACTATCTATTTTACATCTAACGGAAAGGGCCTATGGTTGAGTTAGGGATGAGGATGCCTATCTTATTGCATTCCCATAGAGGGTAAAGTTCTTTGAATTTCAGTTTCAAGCACCATTCTTTTGTTTCCAGGAAAAGCATCTTTCCTGCCCAAGTAGTCCTAGTCCAGACATGATTTTTGAAATGATTGAGAGCTGATTTTCTTAACTTGCTCAGTCATTTTGATGGATGAGTGTAACTGCTGAAAATTGACATCATCGTGATGAATGTTTTGTATATGCTGCAGCCTTGAAACCGTGTTTTGTATTTACCTGTTTTGACACTGAACAATGGATACGCTGGCTAAAAAATGTACTGTTAAAACACATTTTAAAAGAGTCCTGTCAGAAACAATATGGAGATGAATTCTTATGCTTCCTGCATATGGTGATAGTGATGGACCATGTGTCTTCTCATGACTTTTGCCTATGCATTGAAATACAGATAAATTCTGTGTTAGCGTGGTGAGCGCTTTCCAGTGATAAAGTAGCAAATCATGTCACAGCAGTTTGGCATTTAAACACAGTGCAGTGTCGTCTCGCAGCGTTATAAATAGCAAATGTTTGAAAAGTTAACACATAATATATATTGGCTACTGGAGCATGCCAAGGAATTTCAGAAGAAGACCATGCTATGTTTTATAGTATACAGCAAAGCCTCTGACTGCGTGGATAATGAGAAACTATGGCTGGTCCTGAAAGAAATGTGTGTGTCTCAGCACTTGACTGTCCTGATGCATTACCTCTATCATGTTACGGAGAATACGGAGAAGCAGAATGGTTTCCTATAGGCAAAGGCACCAGGCAGGTTTGTTTTAATACCTTCTCTGTTCAATCAGTGCACAGAATGTATAAATAAGGTTTGGGATCAGAGGAAGGAGGAGTGAAAATTGGTAGAGATACAGCAGTAATTTAAGACATACAATGGATTGAAATGACTCCTGATGAAAGTGAAAGAAGGAAATGCTAAAACAGGACTGCATCTGAATGTTTAGAAAGCAAAAGCTATGACTGCGGAAGAATTGTGTAACTTTAATGTCATCAGTGAAGAATTTGAAATTGCGAAAGATTTAGCATACCTTGGATCAGTTGCCAGCTCAAACAGTCTGCAACCAAGGAGTTATGTGAAGGCTGACACATAAAAGGACAGCAGAGAAAAGATAGTTAAGTGTAAGGATATTTCAGTGGACAATCGCGGCCAGGATTGTCCACTTCATTTTTTTCTTGATGGGTGTGAAAGCTGGACAGTGAAGAAAGCTGACAGGACGAAAGTGGAGGCACTTGAAATAGAGTGCTGAAGGAGAGCTTTTCAAATACACTGGACTGAGATCAAGAGCAAGCAAGGCCCTGGCTCAAATCAAGCTAAAACTTTCCCTGGAAAGAAAAAGAACAAAACTGAAGCCGTCGTACTTTGGGCACATGATGAGGAGGTAAGACACACTGGAGAAGACATGCTAGGGAAAGTTGAAGGCAGAAGAAGAAGGGGAAGACCAGCTGTGAGATAGGTTGACTCTATCAAGGAGGCCCCTGCCTTGAGTGGACATGAGCTGAGGAGGACTGTTTCGGAGGATGTTCATTTGATAGGGTTGCCATTATTCAGAGATGACTTGGCAGCAATAAAAACAAAATGCCTGTAATAACCTATTTAAAACTTGTGCCATGTGTAATCATTCAGACAACACAACTAAAACTAAACTGAAGGGTATTGTTAAAGCTCTTCTCTTTTTCCTGCATGTAGTCTAAACACTCCTCCTGGAACAAAAATTAAACTGTTGGGAATTGTGGAAGTGAAAAACGGCTTCCTCCTTCTAGATGAGAACAACACGGTGATTCTTGGAGGGGAAGTGGAGCATCTTATTGAAAAGTGGGAGTTGCAAAGGGTGAGGTAACATGCTTTTTTCCTTCCTTACACCAAACACTTCCATTTCTTTTTATTCCATATATTTCAATAAAGAAGTCATTGTGATTATGTTCAGTTAGGACAATTTATTATGCCTGACAGTGACTTGCCATGTTTTAAGTTGTGGTTAAAATGGTTTCTGTGGAACAGCAGCATTTAAACCCAGATAATTGGATGAGCTGGTTTTGTTAGCATTTTGAAACTGCTAACTTTGTATCTGTTTTGCATGATGATGATGATGATCTGGCATCTTTTAGCTTTGGCATGTAATTTTCTTTACAATGTAAAATTTCTGTCCTAAGTATGTCTGAATCTTTCCTAATTCACAAGTAAAATGACCTGTACATGTAACAATTTGTTCATTTGTCAGAGATACCCAGTATCAACAATTTGTTGACATCCAGTCTAAAGTATGTAGCCCTATTTAGACAATCTGCAGGATTGGCTCACCTCTTCCACACTTTCAGATGTGGGAGAAAACTGATTCGGAAAAATAAACCCAGAACATCTGTGGCCCTTAATGTAGCTTCTCAGAAGGTTGGTAGGTGTAGGGTACAGTAGGACCCTCGCAAAAAAGCCCTGCTGTTGTATTAGAAAGATGCCACCTACCTGTCTTTCTTTTTCTTTTCTTACTAGCTAATAAAAACATTGCATGCCTTTACAGAGCTTATCAAAACACAACAGAAGTAACATAGGAACCGAAGGTGGACCTCCCCCCTTTGTGCCTTTTGGGCAGGTATGATGCATGTTTTAAGAAATGGACTTCCATATCTGTAATGTTACTTTTAGACCATAATTTGAAATATTCATTCTGAACAATGCAAATCCTGGTTAAAGAAACACCTTCTGCATGTGTTACAACAGCACCTGCCTTGGCTAAATAATCAGAGAATTGTACTTGAACGGCTTTTCTTTTTTATTTACATTTTAATGGATCAATATTTAACTGAATGCTACCTAAACAAATATATTTAAGAATTGATCTACCAATTACAATAACTTGAAAGAAAGTCATTTGCTGCCTGCTAGAGAATCTCCAAAGTGCATGACAAGCGCCACTGGAGAAAACACAGTGCTTGCCTTTTTAGCAGTTGAATACGTTGCACAAGACCTTTCCTTATTAGATTTTTCATATTGAGCTTCGTAGGTGTCTAGATAAGTGGTTTGGGTTGTTTTTCCTCCCAATTTCCAGCCCTTGTACTGTCAGTGCTGGTAGCATTTTTGCTTTTGTGGGTAAAAGTCTCAAATTTCTCCATTTGGTGCCAGCAAGGGTTCAACAACTGGTACATTTCAGTCCATCTGCTAGCAAGCAGGATTCTTTAAAAAAGGACTCAACCATAGGCTGGAGTAAGAAACATCACTTTAGAAGGCCAGTCTTTGACCTGCTATTTCAGTGAATGGGCACAGGTCTGCTGTGTAATCAAAGCATGCTTGAAGAAGGATCAGAAGAAAAAGAGAATAAAAGGAGAAAGGAACTGGGAACAGAGTCCTCTGCTTTCCTGAGTCCTGAGGGGCTATTGAGCCAGGCTCTCCTCCTCCCTTTCCTTGTCTTCCTACCTTCATATTCTGTGAAACAAAAGGAAAGTGCATAGTGTTAAACTTCATGACCTTTGCATCTATGGAGAAGGCTTCCTTTCCCAACTGGCTTGTTCCCACTCCTTTTTGCGGGTTGGGGGCTGGACTTTAGAGGATTTACATGGAGGTGGGTCTTTCCCAGACAGGCAACTATCCTCGGCTGTACCTAGTTTTCAGTTCTCATCTCAGTGCCCCTGTATTCTATATTTTTGCCTTGTGATGTGAAGGGACAGCCGACCCTTGTCAGCTAGACACGGCAGTTCTGCCCTCCATGTCTGAGGAGATTGTCCAAGCAGAGTGGTTGAACCATCAGGACTTTGATGTCGGCCAGTGAGGCCTGTGCAGCCTAGAGATAAAGCACACTGTTTTGATTCCCCTTGCGGAATCTCGTTGTGGCTCCTCACAGTGCCGTCTGCAAAGTTCTCCAGTACATGAACTCCGCACACACAGAATACTGACTTTCACCTCTGCCAGTGGTGCTTTGTCTCCCCAGTGGGCAACTCCACTTGGCAAAAGAAGCCCACTGACAGTCATTGCTGTAAAGGTTCAGCATCCATTTCATTTATCCACTTGGGTCTTAATCAGGAAGAAACCAAATGGTAAAAACAGTTGTGCTGAGTCTTGCACTTGTAGAGTCTCATGGATGAGATCACACAGAAAGATACACCAAACAGATGGCGTATTTGTGCAAGATCTTTTTATCTGTTTACCTGTGTTGCCTTTCAAGATAAACATTCAACAATTGAACACAACTGCTGTCCTGGAATGTATCTCTTTGAATGTAACTTTGATTTGATTCTGTTTACACAGACAGTGAAATGCCTGTGTAGGTAGGTTTGTCAGGTTTTTTAAAATGCTTCTGCATTGCCAGAGGTGTGCATCTCAGCTGCAAGTGGACAGCAGGGAGCTTGACCGGAGAAAAACTCTGCAGGTGACAAGTGTGGCTAAGCCTGTTGGAGACAATGATGAATTTGAAAAACAGCGAACAGCTGCTATCGCAGAAGTGGCAAAAAGTAAGGAGGTAAGAGCAAGTGGGTTTTCCAGCATTAACTTCCATTTTTATATGAATACATTTTGCCCTCTCCTGTTACAAGGATGTGTGTTTTCCCTCTATTGGTATGGTATGTAGAGAAATACATACCAAACAATTTGCTGTGATCCAGCCAGGGAAGCTGTTCTGGGGTGACAGAGTTTTTAAAATGATTCAGCAGCTTGTAAAAAGATCTGCCAGAGATAACATTGTTCAGGAAGCTTGGAAATGCATACAATCCCATTGTGCTTGTATATTTGGATTATATTGTTTTTTGGATTATTCTTTAGGCTAATTAGATATATGTTCTCTTGCTGGATTGAAATATATGTTTCTGTCTAACTTTACCTCCCTACCTGGCTTCCAGAAATGCCAGGGGGAGTGGATTGTTCAGGAAACACAAACACACCAACCAAAGAAAGTTTTACAAAGGTGATGATGGTTAATTGAATTGAATATATAATATATTGTATAATAGACAGTTTGTCCATTAACTCCATCGTGGACTCTTTGGCTGGTGTGCATGTTCCTTGCTTTTCTGCAAAGAACTTATTTGGATTGATTTGCCTTTGCTTTGGGTGAATAAAGATCTTTTAGCAATCTACGATTCATTAAGAAGCTTGTACAATGAAAGCTCTACCTGTTCTGTCTCTGTGTTTAACCACACATGCCTGTGTAATGTGTGGGCAATATTCTTCCTTACAGTTTCTCCAAGAACAAAATTGACTCTACAACTCAGAGTAGTATTTGCAGGAATGTTAAGGAAAGGGGTATAATTAGAATGAAATTCTCAGTAGTATAATTGTGGAATCTCAGTGCAATAATTGTGGTTTCATTGAAACATCACTTCCCTTGTCTGAAGACCAAGACTTTTGGAGGTGGAGGTGGCAGTACCAGAAGCAATCTCAGTGTGAGTTCAGGAGGAAATCGAAGCAGGGAAGTGTTCCAAAAAGAGAAGATGAAACCTGAGGGGAAGAATGAAGGTGTCTATCGAGAACTGGTAAGCCTTGGGATATCAACATCAACATTTGTACTCATATGAAGGTTTGAAAAGTCCTCTGTTGATGGTTCTTCAGCTTGTGCAAGTGCAGAATCTCATCCAACTCAGTGTTTGGTGTTTGTGCAGCTAGGAGAGGTGCACGTGAAGAAATCCTAGCATTGCCACCCGAACAGAGCCAGCCCATCGCTCCACCTTTGCCTCAGCCATGAGCTCATTAGGTGGCCTTAAGCACCAATCACTCTCTCCCCCCTGCAGTTTCCCTGTAGTATTGGCATAATGCTGGCCACAGGACAGGGATCCAGAAGGCTTATTAAGATGTGGTGAAACATTTTTGTTGCTAAACTGTATTAAATGCTGCTTATGATTTCTTAATGTTGCTTACAAATGAAAAAAAAAAGATAAAACAAGTAATATGGATTTTAAGTAAACTGTTACAAACTTCTACAACAGATAAAGCTGAATTGTAGCCTTGCTTGAAAAGACAAAATTGTGCATGGTATGGATATATTATTGCCTTCAAAATACTAACTTTTTTCTGTCAGATTAATATTGAATATTTTTTACTTTGAAGGCACTGCCAATTTTCAGAGGCAGAAAATGGGTTTATAAATGCTGCTTGCTTGCTGATTGTGTCATTTAGCCTTAGGATGATTAATATTTCTTTAAAAAAACATGTTCTGGTTTGTAGGAGATTGAAGGATCTGACTGTGACCTTGGCTTAATGGCAGGACAAGCACACAGAACTGGTTTAGCGAACCAGTGTGGCATAGTGGTTAGAGCACTGGACTGGGACATGTGTGTTTCCGTTCTGCTGGGCCATACAGCTCACCGGGTGACTTGGGCCAGTCACTGACTTTCCGCTTAGCCTGTCTCAAAGGGCTGTTGTGAGGATCAAATGAAGTGGAAGAAGGTTATGTAAGGAGGAAAAAAGGTGGGGTGCCAGTATAACACAGGAGTGAAACTAATATATTTCCAAGGCCCATAAAGTTTTAAATAGAAAAGAAAATGCAACTCCAGTTGTGCATTTTTGAGGCTTTGAAAAGCAAAACAAAACAGTGAACTGTTTCTGAACAAGAGCAGTTCTTCTTTGTAATATCTCTGCCTCACACATAGGGGCTCTGCAAAGGATACTTGGGTACCACCTGGAGGAATGAAAAGTTGAGCAAGTCTTTTCTCAGGAATGCTGTTTTATAGGGATGTGGGGCTAGATTCTGGGTGAAATGAGGAGCAGGGGTAGAATCCTGTGATTCCAGTCACATAATGGGGAACTGAGCTTGTGCTGCATCATCATTGTAGGTCTCTCAGTAAAAGTTGCACAAGAACAATGATGAATATTGAAGTATTCCAGTTAAATAACTTTTAGAAACCATTTTGAGGGGCATAAAGGTCATGTAGCAATAACATCTTTTTTTAAACATGTAGTCATCATTCCAAAAGAAAGCATTACAAGATCCAACATCATACCATCTTTTAAAACTTTTCAGAAAACGAAGGGGAAAAATCCTTGGGGAAAAAAAGGGGGCTGGGGCTTTAAAATGCCTAATCTTCCCGGGCATTTTTCTGGGACTTTAAATCTGTAGGTCAGCACAGGAGGAAGGGACTAGGAAGGTGATTGTTGTAACTGTGGTGATTATTTGTCCATGAAGTTCATCTGCCCCAGTAGACTAAGACTACTATCCCATAAGATGAATATTCTTGTATAGGATTACACTAGTGTTAACCTGCTGAATTATCTTGGGATGAGGTTATTTCAGGATTTAGACCAGGGATCCTCAAACGTTTTCAACAGGGGCCAGTTGAAAGACGGAGGTGGGCGTGGGCCCAGCCACACCCGGGATCGCATAATTAAAAATAGATTTTAAAAGTTATATTTTTGTTACCTTCAATCCTTTCTTTGTCTTCATCTCTCTTTCTCTTCCGCTCACCTGTCTTCTGTTTTCCACTCCATATTCCCACTCTGTATATGCATGCAATGGGAGGGGTGCAGGGAGATCCAGCACATGCGCAGTTGAGCTGTTACAATTTGGGAATGCCCCGGCTCTCTGCTCAGTTTTAAAGAATGACTGTGCCAGCTCAGAGCTTTTGGACTCGCTCAGAGATCATTTTCTCCGCGTGAGTCCAAAACCTCTGAGGTGGGCTAGATAAATGGCCATGGCGGGCTGGATGTGGCCCGTGGGCCATAGTTGGAGGACCCATGATTTAGATCATGAAGATCAACCAGAAACTGGGCAGCCCTCTGAGTGGGGTGGTGTAACATGGTGTTCTGCAACAGCAGGGGGTTGGACTTGATGGCCTCCATGGCCGCTTCCAACTCTTCTATGATTCAGTTGCGTTGCTGTTGTTGTAATGGATTATAACCTGCCTTTTCGCATCTTGCATGGAATATCGTCTCTTAAATAGTCACCTCTCCATTTCATCCTAACAACAGCAGCAACAACCCTGTGTGTGAATGGCTGAAGATAAGTGGCTGGCCCAAAGCCACCCAGTGAGTTCCATGGCTAAGTGGGGATGAGAACACAAGCCTCTCATGTCTCCCAGCCCAACCCTCTTTGCACCACACTGGCTCTTAGGTGCTTCAAAGTACCCCATGAGGTGTCTGTCTGAAATTGGAACTTGCTAACTCGGGAGAAGACATTTTTATGTATACAGATTTCTCAAGCTTTCCATGCCACAGCAGGGCAGCTCCTTTAAGCTATACTAGAGGACATAGAAATCAAGGAACTGAAAGTGCAAAGCAAACAGAAAAGGTCAGGCACCTGGTATCCTAGCACCAGGTACTATTGCTCCCGACTGCTGTGAAACAGCTGCCTGTTGCCCCAAAAATAAGTATTAGAGATGGTACAAGGCACATGCCAACAAAGTTCAACATATCAACCTACCAAAATTGTGATGGAGTTTTTCAGTGACAGTCTTTACCTGTTTTTTATATACTTGTAATGTGCATGAAACTACAGCTTCATAAGGAATCACTCGTACTTCAGCAAGCATCCCTGCCTGTCTTAACTATCTGTACTTTGAATGCTAGTGCATGCTTTAATTTGCTATGGAGTGTGTGATATCCTGTGATTGACTTCTGTTTTTGTTTCCCTTGAAGGTTGATGAAAAGGCTCTCAAACACATAACAGAAATGGGCTTCAGCAAGGAAGCAGCAAGGCAAGCACTGATGGATAATAGCAACAACCTTGAAGCTTCATTAAACTTTCTTCTCAACAGCAATAAGCAAACGACTGTTCAAGGGCCCCCCATTCGAGGTACAGCTTTCAAGTCTCTCTTGCAGAGAAGCATTTCCATAGAAACAAGCTAAAGTCAACAAGTTGTAACACTAAAATCAAAAGTTGTTGCTGCTGTGCCATCAATATTTTTCATAAAACTAGAGCCTGTAGTCTCTTCCCAAATAATATTGCTGGTGATGGGTTAGAGCAGGGATAGCTAATCAGTGGCCCTTGGGCAGAAGAGAAGCTCAGAGAAGAAAAGTCCCCCGACCATTGCCTACCTCTGGTTCCCAACAGATCACTCCAGAGGAAACGTGGCTCTTAACAGGGAAAGTTCCTCACCCTTAACTAGGTGCAACGTATGGAACATACAACATGATATTGCAACCCACGAGGGGTGGTGATGTCGAGGCCTCTTGATGTGAATTGCAAACCTGTTGAGAACTTGAGTGGTCCAACGGCTCAGTTACTAAGACACTCCAGAGACGCAGACAGTCGGAAGGAGTGGAAAGAGCACAAGAGCCTAGGGAATGAGTAAGCAGAAAGAGCTAGGAAGAGATGGTTGGAAGGAAGGATTGTCTGGGAGACATGTAGGAAGGAGGAGGAAAACTGTTAAAGAGAATGTGTGGAGAAGAGAGCTGCCCATAAACTATAGAGGTAAAGCTCAAGTCAGGTTCTTATATTTGAACTCAGCTAAGCCTCAGGCTCCAGGATTTTGATGTTTTCAGTTATGTATATATGGGAAAACAGTCTAAATTGAAGCTCTCTGAAAATTCTCCCCATGCTTTAATGTGCTCCTCTCTTAAATATGAAGGATGGGTCCCTCACATTGTCTGTGATGAGCATGTTTTTATAATTGGCTAAAGCAGAAGTGAAGGTGTTTGTAAACAAAGGATGATGTGGCAAATAGCCTGACCTGAGCAGAATTTCATCTATGTTCTTCTTCAAAAGTGTGCCCTGTAATACTGAGTGCAGAAACTATTTTCTGAACTATTTTGAATGTGTACCTGATATGACAATGGCCATTTCTATCTTTAAAAAAAAGTAGCACAGATAGCGTTTGAAAATGTTTGCATAAAAGGTAAAATTAGAGAATAAGAAGTGCTTATTCACCAACAATTCATGTTACTGGGTGCTTTAGGTAGTCAGCTGTGGCTTGCTGTACATTGAACTAGCATTTTATGACGCTTTTCCTTTGTTTTATTGATTCTTGTGTGGCTTCTTACTTGAATTTTTACCACTAATTTTTACCACTTCATTTTTATAGTAGGAAAGAATCCAATTCAAATATGCAACCCTCGGCTAGAGGCCGTGCTCAGTGGCTGTTTTGCATGTTGTTCATTTGTTTTTTTTCAAAGGAAACTAAGGTTTCAGATTGAAAAACCAATGCATGGTGGCTATTTTGGTTTACTAGGCAAAGCATTTCCTTATTGTAAGTTGCTGAATATATGCGAAATAAATGATTTGCATATCATTTTGAGTAGATATTATAGAAATAATTCTAAACACTGTAATTGAATTTGTAAGATGATGCTTTTCACTTGCATATTTATATTGATTATACTGAGTGATGTAACACAGAAGTTCTCATGTGAGCTTTTATTCTTTAATATCATGGATCTTGATTTTAGTGCTTAAAAGCCCGCCAATTCAAGAAAGAAATCTTAAGGAAACAGAATAGGTCATCTTCAGTTGCTTTACCATAGAGACTCAAGTTTATTTCCCTGTGTCTAAACGTGCTATGTGGCTCATCTCCAGGGAAAGGAAAAGGCAGAGGCCGAATGCGCCCTGAAGATGAGGAGGAAGTGGGAAATTCCAGGCCATCTGCTCCAAGCACATTGTTTGATTTCTTGGAGTCTAAAATGGGTACTCTTGCAATAGAAGGTATGTAGAAAGGATGCGAATGATTCTGTCTGTATCCCTCCCTCCCTCCGTCCTTGCCTTTTATAAGATGTTTACCTCTTGCTGCTTCCTTTTCATGAAAAGAAACTGGTTTGGGCTCTGAATCTTAACTTTTGAGTTCCATGAAGAAGCTTGCTTGCGCTCCCTCCCTCTCTCCCTCCCTCCCTCTCTCTCTCTCACACACACACACAGCCTTTCAATTTTTTGTTGAGTTACACCTGGCTGTGCAGTGTCACTGGGGAAACCTAATAGTCTGAAACAGTCAGTGGTGATCACATATTAGAGGAAATTGGTCAAGGCAAAGGGTAGTCAGTTCCATGAAAATTTTAACTGGTTTTGAAAGCTACTTCCTCTTCTCCATGGCTTTGGCTAGGGGATGTAGTGGGAATGACAGCCAGCATGCCCACATTATTCGCAATCTGGTATGAATTGGACAAAAATGGTAGGAAAGTATTTTCCACTGGCAGCGGGCCTGAAGTAACTACATCTCATGCAGAAGCATCGCCCTAGTTGAAGACATCACTGTACCTTCACTGAACAATTCTGTACCTTAATTAAGCTGTTGAAGGAGGGATGCTGCTGCTAAGCAAGCAGAATGGCTCCAGGATCCTGTACGCACCCAGTCCTTGAGGGAAGAGGAAATGAGCACCACCCAAGAAGTCCAGAAATGGTGGAAAACTAGGAGATAAGACCAAGGATCATGAGAAGAGATGGTGATGTCACCCGCATGCCACATAGACTTCTTACATCCTCGTGGGCTATCCTAGATTAGACCCCCTCCAAAGTCTTAAATTATGCGCCATGGAGTTCTCCATTAAAGGTTAGCGGATGTGGCCTGTGACTTGAACAAGAATTTCCATGTCTTCAGAGCAGGCAATGGCTTCCTCATGCAGCCATTCCCAGGCACCTTTTGGGACCTGGGACTGCTACACATACAGGATACAGACTCGTCTCACCATCCCCTTGAGGGAAGCCACTGGTTGCCACTACAGCAAAATGGTGATGGGGGAGAAACTGCCACAGCCATTCTGCCTTGCAGAAGATGTTTTACGCATCCTTGGTGATCTCTTTGGGTTGCTTTTTCTGGACCCTCAGCTGGAGTGGAGGGAAGGGTTACTGCTTGGGGTGTTTGTGCCTGTAGCCATGAGACAAGGTTTGAACAGTAGAAGTTTTGGCCATTTGCTCTGTGTCCTGGGTCTGTTCTGGAGAAAGAATACTGCTATTGTTTGAATGATTCCCAAGATTCTAGTTTCTATTTATAATAAAAGTTGCTTGGTTATATCCTAGACAAGTAACATTGTATGATATTTCACAAAAACCGTGCCTTTCATTTTTGTAAAGGCATGCTGCGGTGGCTGAATAGATTAAGCTGGAGTTCTTAATCCGCAAGCCAACTGCATCCATATTTGCTTTGTGAGTGATAATGATCTCATATTTCCTCTGGAGTTCTTGCCAGATGGTACAACAGAATATGTATACTGCATGGAGAACTTGCTAAGAGATGTGCTGTGATGCCCATTTGATTTACTTTCTATGAGTCATCATAGTCTGCTTGAAACAGGTCTCCATTGCTGAAGGTTTATTCTGTTTGTTGACAGATCTCCTGGCTGTGCTGCTATTATAGTCTCAAAAATCCATCCTGGCGGCCCATGAATAGTGCCTAGTACAGAGATTGCTGCAAATTAAGGTGAATTTGCAGACTCTAGACTTCTCTTTGTTGGGTACCAAGCTACTAAAAATAATCAAATATTTTACAGTCATTTATTGACTGACTGCAGATGGATATTTATTGTAATATAAGCCAGTTATTGACAGTTTGTCAGTTACTGTGTAATAAGCTTCATGTTCCACAGATCCAACTATTGTCTCAAGGCACAAGTTAAATTTGATTCCTTTGACTTTTGTGTAACTTACATATTTGAGGTTAATGTAATTTGGCTTCTTCCTTGAAGCAATTCTTTAGCTGTTTCAGAAACGAATCAGAAACATTATATTGGTTTGTTATTTGAGGGTATATGATGCAGAACATTGTGGCTCATTGCTCTATTATTCCCCCCAAAGAGGAGAATATTGTGAATTGTAGGTTATTACAATGGCACATACTTTGGTCCCGAAAGCAAAGTGACAGTTTGATAGCTATATGTAAGCAGAATGCTTGAGAAACAATTTAGTAGTCCTAAAGAGGTCCCTGTCCTCACTGAGCCTTTTGGACAAATAATTGATCAACCAACAAAAACAAAGCCAGTAAAAAGTATGGATAGGCTAATGAATCTTGAAGCAAAATGTTCAAGAGATTTTGTTTGACCTTATTTGTACTTGGGAGAACTAGTGGCATTTCCCTTCGAAAGACTTGGTTTGGATTTGCTGAAAAGAACCAACTGAGGAGTGTGCAAGAAATTAGAAAAAAGAGGAAAGGGTAGTTAATTTCTTGCTTGAGCCTCTCAAAAGGAATTGACAAGATGTGCGGAAAGACAATAGAAATTGAACGATTGGGGGCCACAGTAGATCAAAGGAGACCTGGAGCTCTTTGTGTACTAAAGAGTTAAAAGTGCAAAACCCTCAAACTGAAGACAGGGTAGTGAAATTACGTATGCGTTGCATTGCTCACATCAAGTGGGCTTTTCATCGGACTGGGAGTTGCAATCCCAACAACTCACATGGCAGCGCAGTGGTCCACAGCACTCAGTGAAAAGGGTTGCCCCTTGGGCTTGTTGCCATGACAGATTCAGAGTTTTCATGTATTACAGAAGGCCTATGTTGTTGATGGAACACAAGGTTGGAAAATCTCTTGCAAGATGTCACAGGTCAAGGATGTTCAGATCCCTCCTGCTCAGAATCTGGTATGGTGTTGCTGGTTCCTGTGACATGATACATAACAACAACAACAACGAGATCAGCCATTCTCTTTTATAGCATTAACAACTGCTCCCCCCGTGCCCTCCCAATTCTATTGCATTATTTGTTCTCAAATGAGCCATTAACCAAAACTCCCCCAGAGTAAATACACACTTTTGCTGGACAGTTTTAACAGACCTTAATTTGACACTTGAGAGCAAGACATGCTTTTGTCACACTGCTAGACATCTCCTCGGCTATTATGGTAAAAAGTTTTGGAAAATGGGCTGGAAAATGCTTCAGTCTTTGCCTTAATTGCAAGACAGGACAGCTTTTGTCTTTTGCTAGGTAGTTTTAAGATGACAAGCATTTCCCTTTTAAGCTGTCAGTCAATCATTTTATTTACTTAGGCTCGCTTAAATTTGTGACCTTGAAACAATCGAACCAAGCTAACCTTTTTCTTTTCCTCCTTTAAAGGAAGCAACAGGAATTCACTGGGTTGGAAACATCAACCCATGATGTTTAATAAAGTCAATGTTTATTTAATGGATGGTGGCTTTCAGAGACAAAAATTACCGTCAAATACAAACGGGCTGATGTGACAAGAGAATTACACCAGCCCAGTGGGCCTGCCTGCCTCAAGGTGGGCTCTAAATGAAATAGTTCTAACATATGTTTCTGAGTTCAGTCAGAAGTCGTGAAGTATGTTAGTGACATTAACCATGTTAGAGTCCTTGAACACTCTAAACTTCAAGCACTGCTTACGTAAAGCTGAATGTAGTCTGTCTAAACAACTGACTTAAGAATGCAAAACAACTCAAAGCAGCCTTTGCAATTACATATGTATAGTTCAGTTCAGTGTAGACAAGGTATCAGGCAATGGAAACAGTGAATCTCATTGATTCAGAGCTTTACACCAACAAAAACAAAAAGTTCAATGCACCTGCTGATATATTATCTGTCTAAAAACAAACGTCAAATTGGTTAACTTGATTCTCAGCCTCTTCCAGACAAGGCTAAAGCTCCTTGTGTTGCTTGCAGCCCCCTTCTTGGCTATTTGGTGATCCCCAGTGAATTGCAAAAGGACAGCTGTGTGTCCATCGCACATCACGCCTGCACAATTTTCTCTCCAGAGATTGCAGCTCTTTTCCCTGCCTGCTGCTGCTTTTCCTGAGACTATATAATAAAGAAAGAAAGTCTTAGCCAATGTCATTCCTTTCATCAGGCTTTCAGTTCAAAGCCCTCTGCATGAACTAAAAGGTGTCTAGTCCCTAAACAGTCGAAAGGTCTAGGCTGAAGTGTCACGGTGAAAACCTCCGATCAGAGTTGGTTTACGGGAAACGGCAGTGGTGTGTTCTGAGCGGCACTGTGTCTCGGGATCTACAGCTATGCACAAAAAAACGGTTTTCATGTAATGTGAATTCTTGGATTGCTAATTTTACTCCTAGTGTCTTGGAAGCATTTTCTAAACACAGGATCAGAAGTTGGAAGGTCCTGGAGGGGGGTTGCTGTTATCTGTTACCTGAACCTGGGTGGCAGGAGCTGTTGGAAGAGGAAGTGGTCCTCAGATAATGGATGATTTTGTAGTGGGGGCAGCGGTGTGACACGCTGCAGGCTGAAGTATTTGTGAGATCCCGGTTGTTGTGAACAATAGCAGTATGACTTTAAACCCCATACATTATTTCTGTGCTGGGTAGCTAACGTCATTTCTGTTTCCAAATAAAATCTCTACTGCATAAGCTGTGCTTAATGCAAACTGGATGTGCCAGTAATAGGTGCTGTTTTTCTTCATAGAGCCAAAACCTCAAATAGCTCTGCAGCCTCCAGGACAGCAAAGGGGACTGAATACTGAGCAGAATGGCATAAAAGTGTATAGCCATCAAAGACATGCTTCCCGGAATGAAACCCGGCAGCCGAGGAATGAGAAACCACCCCGTTTTCAGAGGGACACTCAAAATTTGAGGCATGTCATGGAAGGGGGTGGATCCTTAAGAGCCAGAGTGTCAGAAAAGCAACATTCTTTGGTCTCTGACCAGTGGGCGGAGGAGAGAAATAAGTGTGATAGACTTTATTCTCGAAAAGATCTTGTATACCCCACAGCGATTCACCCTGGTGACTTTCATTTCAAGAGGAGAGACAACACTCTACTGAACAGGCAAGGGAAAATTCTGTCGCCCATGGAAATGAAAGAGAACTCTGCTATTCAAGATCCAGCTGATAACAATAACCAGAAGCAAGGAAATAGGGAAGGCCAGATACACCATCCTGACAGTTTTTATGACAGGAAAGCGCTACTGCTAACAAATGAGTCTTACACCAGTTTAAAGAATGAGCAGCACTTTGGTGTAAACATAGATTACCAAAATCCTGTTAGAACTGATCGTTTTAGTTCCGTACCAAATGGAGATTTGGAACATTTTCAGAAAGGAAGGAGAGTTGGACCTATTAAATTGCCTGCACCCAATATGGCTACATCATTTGATGGCAAAATGTTCTATGACATTGGGCCCAAAAAGAGATCTGGGCCGATAAAACCAGAAAAAATGTTGGAACCATCTATTTCAGGAGAGTATGGGAAAAGCTGGCAACCTGGGGATGAATGTTTTGCTCTTTACTGGGAAGACAACAAGGTATGTCCTACTCAAAAGGGTTTTAATGACACTGACTTAAATGGATCAGCCATCATAATTGTAAATCATGGATGGTTTGGGGGAAAGGGAATATAAGCATGATAAATGCTTTACTTACTTTGGTTTTCTCTTCTACTTGGAGAAATAAGTGGTTCACTGCCACCAGGATGTATAGAAGTAAGAAATTGCTTGCCATATAAGTAGCTTTGGATATTGCAGAGTACGTTTTCTTAAAGCAGTGGTCTTCTGTTAATTTTAATTTGCACCAGTGATAGTTGCGATGCAAACACTGAACGTCTCAATGATACTATTCTGAATGTTTTACTGCTGTACAAAATCTGAAGAGGTGGATGTATAGCCATGTCAGTTTACAGTATATAAATGGAAGATTTTAAGTTTTTCAAGCAATTAATTATACTTTGTCAACCCATACATTACTAGAGAGCCAGTGTGATGTAGTGGTTAAGAGCATGGGAGTAGGACTCAGCAGATCTGGATTCTAGCCCCCACTCAGCCATGGAGCCAACTGGGTGACTTTGCGCCATTCTCAGACTCTCAACACAACTTATTTCACTGGGTTGTTGTTGTGAGAATAAGATTGAAAGGAGGAGCAGAATGATGTAAGCTGCTTTGAGTTCTTTAAAAGAAAAAGGCAGGGTATCAATCAGTCAATCAATCTTATAGGTGCTATTTGCATTTGAAAGAAATGTAAATTGATTTATACTTAGACACAAGCAACAATTCATTATTAAAATAAATTGAGCTCTCTTTTAAAAATATATATTCTCAATTTCCAGTGAATTGTAATACTAGCCTCTGAAACAAACTAACGTGCCCTTAACTCACACACTTTGCTAGTTTGGTTGGTTAAGGTACTGACTGATTAAAGCTTGCTTCCTAGAGGAGATGACCTCAGTGGGATATTTTAAAGGAGAAGGATAGTCAAAGTATCTATATGATTATTTTATGTGAAGGGAATTTAGAAGCAAATGTGCCTGTATTGCTGCACATTTCAATATACTAGGTACATCTATTTTTTCACCCTTGCTGATTTTATAGTAGATCTCTTTTTATTACACAGTTTATGCATAGATTGTTACTTTTGCAATTGAAATATGTGAGCTTCTATTTTGAAATGGTGTGTTTTTTCCAGTTTTATCGTGCAGAAATTGAAGCTCTTCATTCCTCTGGGACAACGGCAGTTGTTAAGTTCTGTGATTATGGAAACTATGAAGAGGTGTTACTAAGCAACATCAGGCCCATTCAAGCTGACACCTGGGTACGTGACAATAAATTGTATACAAAGAGATAAAGTACATAGTTCTTACGAACCATGAAGCCATAAACAGATGACTGGTAATCGTGCAGAGGGGTTTGAAGTAAAAGCCTGAAGAAAAGAATTCTAGAACTGGCTAAGACCTTCTTTATTACATGTCCATCCATAACAATGCCTTAATGAAGCATGTGGTCTTACTCTCATGTAATAAAAATATGTAAATCGTTCTGGCAATATACTCTACATATTACTAGCAAAGTAATATTTATATGAAAAATTCCTACTTTTTTAAAGTATACTCTGTCAGATTAAGGGTTCAGATTGACGGCTTCCGTATAGTTTTGTTTTAGTTTAGAAAATGATGAATTCATAAGATTTCAATTCCAAAGGTTTTTTTAAATCTGCGTGTTCAGCTAAAATTAGAACAGTTTCTATCATTGTTTGGATGTGTTTTTCCTTTCACAAATCTGACATAAGCATATTAGGTGGGAGTGATGATCATAAATACTTCATAAAACAAGTCATTCTGAAAGGTCTTACATGTCATGTCCATAAAAAAAAATATGCAAAGCTCTGATTAAGTAAAACGAGATGTGACGTGTGGAGGGGGCTGTTTAGTACGGGTTTTGAGCAAGAACGTTCCCTAAACTTAATGGGCTCGCATCTGTGAAATGCAAGGAAACTTGCACGATTTTTCCTTGATTTTCCACTCAGTCTGCAGCCCCACACAGCAGCCCCTTCCTTAGCGTCTTCCCAATTCCATGAAGCTTAGAGCAGGTGCAGGGGGAGAAGTAAGCCTACACAAGCATCCATGCACGGACTGAACTTTGGTTCACTACCCATTGCCTTTTAACTGAGTTTTAGTAGGGCTGTCTGTATAATTGACTCTCTCTTGCCGAGGACACTTCATTGCTGCCATGCTAATGGTACACAGAAGAGCGAACACTCAAATTGGCTTTTATAGTTTTAATTTTGAAGTGCTGTCTCTGACTCCTTTTGTGTTTATTTTTGACAGCCCAGTAGAAATGCTAAAAATCCACTAATGTGTTTATAAATTTTATGACTTATTACAGCAATTCAAGTAGCAATTACCAGAACTCTTGTTACATGTGTTCATGGTACTGATAATTTCTCAAGTTTAATTCACTCATGCTGATTCAAATATATTCTGGCAGGTGGAAGACCTTGGCATCCTATGTTTACCCTTTCATACAAGCTTCTTTGTTCTCTTACTGAGAGGTCCCCCCCCCCCCCCCGGGACAAGGTTAATTATGCAATTTGAAGGCAACAGGGGTTACAACCATTAGATTCCAGGTCTCCCTCCCTCCCTCCATGCCTCTGTGCAGTCCAGTCATCTGCTAGCTACTGGCATCTATTCAAATCTGAAATGTATTAGATATTTCCCCAATTCATGCTGCAGTGCCCCTACACATATTCCTGAGGAATATGGACACATGATGGAAGAGGTCCAGCCAACATTGAAGTATCTGTTGAAGCCCTGCGAGCTGTAACTCATACTCTCTGTAGCCTTGAAGGGTCAAAACCAACAGAATTACATTTCTTAGTGTGTCCAGCATCTCCAGGGCAGTGGAGAATGTTCTAGGATGCATCTCATGGGAAATAAAGGCTCCGAGAGCCTGGTGAGCATTAATCATTTTGTAGCAGCTCAGCTACCCAAAACAGTCCAGATGCAGAGTCCAGTTAGTTTTTCAGAAGTCTAGCAGATGCCCAGCAAATAAATCTGGTTAATTTAATTTTCCACTGCAGGTAGAATGGGATCGGGGAATCCACCCAGTGCTCTTGCTTTTATTTGTATTGGTGTTCTGCTAAAGAGGGGAGCTGCTCTACTGGTTGGGAATGCTCTGGACGTACCTAGCCTCTTACCTGATCCTGGCTGCCTTGTGCTGCTGTGTGAGATGGCTGCAGGCAAAACAGCTCTAGACTCCATGCTTTATTAGGAGCCTGAGGGTGTACACATGCTTCCCCCACCCCATTGCCTGTATTTATGCGTAGAATGGACAGACCAATCCAGATTTCTCCGTTATGAACTTCCGTAGCGGCTATAAAGTCTTTGAACAGAAAAGTCACCTGTTCACCTGCGGTGACTTGGAGGCTGCAGCCTGCGTGATTAATCTTTCAAAGTTGCACCTGTTTCTAATGTTCTTGCCTCAAATGATGTATAACAGGTAGAGGGAATACAAAATTTTAGTCTGAGGCTCAGCACCCTGAGCTAGCAGGCAGTGCACCCTTGGGATTCCTTGGAGTCAGGCCGTGCAAGGGCGTGGGTTGCAGGAGGCAGCCCGCGCACCGTCCGTGCCATTGCCAGTGGAAGTGCTGTGCATTTAAGCATGTGCCTTGAATGTTGATGCTGCCTATGGAGGAGCACTTGGAAATGGCATTCCCCTCTTGCTTGGGTACCGTAGAATCCAACCTTTTTTGATTTCATCAGCAACCAACAAGAAGTGACGTGGGGTGGGGTGGTAGGCTCTGTTTTGGAACTGTGAAGATTAAATCCCGATCTGGTTTGTTCTCAAGGTTCTTTGCCATGTTGTTTGTGTTATGTCAGACTAAATTCCATCCATTTACTAATACCAAAGCATCTGGCAAGGAATTCAGGAAAGTAGTACTACTGTAGTAATTGCATTTCTGTTATATGAAAAATCAATGAAAGGGCTACATGAATTCTGTATGTTCCATAAAGCAATAAATGTGGGGTTTTGACTTTTGAATGAACTCTTACTATGTTGGCATGAGGTTCTTTCAATAGAAAATGTAGATAATGAAGAAGCTTTTGCTTTCCTTCTGTTCAAGGATTGTTTAAACATTGCTCTTGGCTATAGATCTGTACCTGATATATGTAATCCACTGTTGTGCTAACTGTAGCAGTGATCACAGAATAAAGGTATATGTTTGCAAGAAATCAGCCCAAAATTAAATGCCATCACAAAAATAAACTTCTTTTGCACCATTTAAATAAAATTGAAAAGCATGCATTGTTCAGAGACTTCAGACTAAATTTAGTCTGTGCTGTAGAAATGTAAAATAAACACAAGATAACTTGAACCCAAAGTGTTATATGTTTTTCTCAGATTTCAGGAATATACAAACATATATATATATATATATATAGATATATAGATATATAGATAGATATAAATATAAAAATGTATATATGTATATATATGTATGTGTGTGTGTATATATATATATATGTATATATATAATCTTTTTCTTTTTTTTACAAATGACTGTATCATTACTTCTATCTGATTGCATTATTAATGCCAGTGTTTCTTCTTTCCCACCTGTGTTTGAGTGCTGAAGTAATCTTAAGTATCATTTGCTTTACTTCTAGAGGCAGCATTTCACCATCTGGCTATACTATATATGTTAATAATTACATAATTACTGCTTAGGCTACTGCAGCCCTACTAGTATTTCAGAAATACTGAAGTGCTGCCAAGAGAAAGTGCTTCAGAAGTGGGTGCTAATCTTGACAAACAGGCACCTTACATCAGCCAATGATTTTAAGTTTTCCACCTTCACAGAGCAGTTTGCCAAGGAACTCAGGATTCTGGAGCATTTTTAGGATGCACAGGAACTTCATATGAGACGCTGCTCAGGCATCATGCTGCACATGCTGCACATGCAAGAATGGGGTGGGCAGATAGCATTCTTGATCATTGGACATGCTGACAGGGGCTAATAGATGTTAAAGTTCAGAAGACCCGGCGCGTTCTCTTCTGCCCACCTTTGGCCTAGAACAAGTATATCCAACATTTCAAAGTTGGAAATAATTATTCCATACATTTGTTCAGTTTTTAGTCCTGCCAGGACACTGGACATAAAGTAAGCCTTCTGCATGTCTGAACTCTCTTTCAAACTTGCACGTTCTAGTTTTGTATTAACTGCCAGCATGCTGGAAATCAGCAGGAAAGTGAAGTGGTGAATAGCGCAGATACTCTGGATAAACTTGCACAGTTTCATCCACATGAGCAAAACTCAGCGCTATGTGTATTTGTGTTTGTTAGTGTACTTAAGTTGTCCAACCCACACATGTGAGCAGATTTATGTTAGGGCAAGGTCTCCTATCCCGAAGTATCTGGGTTGTATGTGTCACACTGCAGAGCAGTAAGGGAATTTTCACATGGGTAATAGGAAGGAGGAGGAACAACGGGAAATGCCATTGGTGCATGTTGACCCCAGCCTGTATGTTGTTTGCAGTGTATATTCAACCACTGTTGATGCTACCAAGTTGGGTTAATAATCTTAAGTAGTGAAGGACCAAAGCTGCCTATTTTGCCATTCATTTGTAGATTTCTTGAAGCTTCTGGACAAATTATATGCCTATTTAGAAGCAGAGGGCTCCAGCGGGAGACAGGGATGACTGCTTTTAGCGTAAAACTAACAAAGCTCCTTCATTTAGTTTAAATGTACTTGTTGTGTTAACAGTGAAATACAAATATTGGGCAGTCATGCCTACCTACCTGCTCCTTGTTTGCCTGTACTGATCACTGACCCTCTGAAATGCTCCTATTGAATGGACTACAAGGAAAAACTAGTACCATAGGTGATAGATTTCCTCATTTACCTTAGGCTTGATAGAACATTTATGCTGAAATTAGGTTTGGGAGAATGATAAAGTGGCCCATGACTTCAATAAAATATTCCATGAATAATAAAATGTTACTTGGTAGCATCACTCACTCTTTTTATCTGAGCCTGATATCTTCTAAGGGCAACATCAGAAATCAAGTGCTGTATGATGCTCAGTCACGGCAGTCAAGATTTCTTCCTTTCTCCTATTTAGGAGCAGGTGTTCCCTCCTTGTGGACTATTTCACAACTCAGCTCCCTAGTCCTGCTGTCCTCATTTCGCCATATGCTGTATTACATGGAACTCCTGAACAGAGTTCGAATAAATAAGGTGGTGCATGTGGAAAGGAGTCTGTTGAGAAGTTTAAATATCAGTGGTGACACATGAGGAGCAGTAGTTCCGATCCA